TGATGGGGTTCGATTTCTGCCGATCCAGGGTTTAAATTTATTTGATGAATCCATTCTGTCAAATGAAACACTATACTGCTTGCTTACAAATGCAAAATTGTATTGATAAATTGGTTTAGCAAGGTTAATTTTTCCAATGATTGTTTGGCAGATTGAACTGTTATGTCAGGATTGTGAAAATTTCAGTAGCCTCGGTGGAATTCGAACCCCGCTCATGGACGCCGCCTGCACTTTGATACAGCACATGCTTGACCAGCTGAGCTATGAGGCCTCACAGATAGCACACTGATCTTTTCATATTCAAATCTCATGCGGAATTCACCAGGGTTAATTTATATTTTTACTTCTAGAGCTTCTAGAGTAAAACTACGTTGGTGGTTGGGATACGTAACGCGGTTGCTTAGCAATAGTTCTGAGTGTTGTGAGGTACTACTCACACTTGCGAGTAGCCTGCACGCACCAAGAAGCGGTTTTTGTATTCCCACGGAATTCGTGAGTAGATTAAAGGATTTAATTTTATAACTGCAAAAAATGCGCATCCACTGTCGAATCGTACCAATAATTGTGCTGAGTGCTTGAGGGAATTATGACGACCTGTACTCCAAATGAGACGTTTTGTTGTATGTACGCCAGTTTATCTACACCCTTACCGTTATTCGTAATGAACAACCGTCTTCGTCCCGGAACTACCTTGTGGATTAATAACATTAGTACCTCGTTTTGTTTACATCTATCTTGTGGAGGTCAAAAGATGGTGTTTTTCAGTTTTCTGAGGTTTATTCTGTACCAAGTGTGCGTGTATACGATCACAAACGAATTATTGCAATGCCATAAAGTGCCAGTTTGTGTTTTTTCTTAGTCTGGAGGCTTTCAATTCACAAAATCACCTTACTATTTCTCGGATAATAGTTCGCCTCAAACTGACTGTCTGTGATGCCATAATAATGTTGTAATGAAATTAGATTGCGCTATAACTACTGACCCAAGAAGGTTTTTCAATCATACGTATCAAACAACTGGAAAAAGATGTACAAGTAAAACTAAAATATCAGCAAAAATATGTAGATTTATAATAATAAAAATAATCTTTTACTTATTAAGCAATGAAATGATGTGGTGACTAAAAGGTGTACTGAACATCTGTCTCGTCCTTGTTGGAACTCATCAGTTCGTATTATCTTTGTGTGTTGATGAGTGCATGAGTAAACCCATATCACCAAATAGATTGCCATTTTGATAATCAATAGCCAAAAAAGAAATAAAACTATTTATTAATCTTATTTATGGTGTGCGATACTTGCCGGGGCAGGTGATGGGTGCAAAAAAGGTGCAAGTGTTGAAACTAAGACCTGGCATGAGAATGTGAAAAACCTAATCCGTCATATGGGTCGCGTCGGGCTTCCTGGATGGAGACTTCGGAATCAGCGTAACCGATGAAAAGACACACTGATTGATATGACTGAGTGTCGCAAACAGCGGCACTTGTGCATCTTTCTCAATCTCTTTGCGACCTTAGTCTTCCAGAATTCTCTATTTTCACCTTGACACTACTTTTAACATCCCATTATTCTCTCTACTCCTTCAGCCAAATCAGCAGCCAAATAACAACAACCAAACACAGCACGAACGTGCGTGGCAATGTTTGTAAATACTGGAACCAAAAAATACGAATCAACTCAGATATTATTTTGTACAAAACCGTGCAGTTCCAGGCAGGGTCTGCTTAATGACAGGCAAACCGTAATCCCCCAAACTAAACAAGATAATTCCTGGTCTGAAGAGACAGCGATATAGATAATGTTCACAAAGACGGTTTTAGTCAAAAGCTCCTCACCTTAGGACCAATGGCAAGTGCTAAAGTATACATTTTTATACAAATATTCTAAAGATTGCAAGAGAGAGAGTAAACGGTACAAAAATTAGTTATGTATCGGTGTGTTTTCCCAACCCTGGTGGAACCAACGCTGTTTTTTCTATTTTGCCTTAAGTGGTTTACATATTGCGAAGTACTGGGTCGTGGTAAATATTTATCGGGATTAGGCAGTCAAACCCGAGTGCCGTTTATCACTTCAAGTTAATGGTACTGCTTTTTGTGGGTTTCAAACTTGAGTGGATTGCACTGTTAACGAACTTAAATATTATTTTCAATGACAATGCAAACTGATCCTGGCTTGCACCACAGTGTCTGTCCGTTTTTATGGCCGTTTTCAGTTACGACTTTTGTTCCCTCCCATCTAGCTCGTTGGTTCGGCTCCGGGATTTCCACATGGTGTGATAGACCCAATCGAGGAAATCGCTGAAGTAAGCTCTATCCACTGTTTCTGTCTATCTGTGTGTGACCATAATTCTTGGTTCGTTCACACTGTCAGTTGTTTTAGTTTTCGGTAATTCGTATTTTTATTTAACGGGATCACAACTGGATCTTGACCCGGAATTATCATGGATGATTGCATTGATTATATGTGTTGGCATTCGACTTGAAACTATACCGTTACCTGGGTCGAAGCGTGTTTCGGTCATCTATGTTTAGTATGATGCGCTCAGATACCATTAGATGATCCGAGGTCTACTAAATGGAATCAGATAACTGAACAACTAAGCATGGGATGCTATTCTATCGGTGTACGCTGAAACACAAAATTTTTGTTATTCACGATATCTTCCATTTTCCTGTGTTCAACTGTTTCACCCCCTTTTCTCCCTGTTCTGTACTCCGATCCACCTGTCCCTTTTCATTGTTATTTTAATTATTGTTGCGTTGGCACCATGCTTGTCTATAAGCCGGTGGTATATNATCAGAACGAGAGTGCACCTTGGCGTGGTGCGATGGCTTGCGTGCCTCAATGACCCTGCGAGCTATAAAGGATGGCTCGTCACAGCCGCAGATCCAACCATGCCTGAAAGGTCAATGGGTAGAGGCCAAACGAAGATCAGTCCCACGAGGTCAGCTGCTTGGGCACCTCCTGGCTTCCCTTGACTATCCACTCCAACGCCTGGAGAGGTCACTCCAGCAAAAAACACGAGGAGGGGCAGTTTACCGGTCAAAACACCCCACTAGGTAGGCGTAGGAGCGGGGTACATGGGGCTTCCTCCTGACGGTGGGAGAAGTTTTCGCACTTCACTGGACAGCTACCGTCCGCGCAAGCCGGACAGTCCTCAGCCAATAAAGTGCTGTCCCGTCTACGTTCCGCTTATTCGGGATTGAGAAGAACGACTAGACAGATGGGAAAGATGGTTTTCCAAATGGGTACCCAAGACTTTATGGCACGGCATACTTCGCGGTAGACCACACCGACGAAGGGGTTTTCTTTGGGAACCCTAATCGGAGCCTTCGACTCAAAATCTGACCCATAAGGCAGTGGGGCGTAAATCCAACGCGGGAGCGTGAACGAAGCACCCGTGTGGGAGCTTCTGGAGACCTGTCCTGCAAGGCCTTTGAATTTCATTTGATTGTATTGTTCGCTGGTGCGTTGATTTTCGGTCCGCTTTTCGGGATCAGCCCTC